CGGGGGAGTCCGGATCCGGTTGTTTTGTTCCCCCCCGCTTTCCCTTGCAAGAAATAAGCTAAAGTGGACATTTCTTGTTCTAACATAACCAAACTTCAAGAATCCCTTGCAAAAAAAAGGTAAAGTGGACATTCGCGCGCGCAAGACGAAATCCTTCCAAAACCTTAGTGTTCGTAACGACTTTAACATAAAAACATCAAAACACCAATGTTTTGTTCAAAAAAAATGTCAAAATTTCATCCCGCGCGCTCTTGCGGATTTGTAGGAAACCCAACACTTTTTAAACATTTCTGTCAAACGGGCTTTTGCGAGCAACTTTTTCGAACTTCTGCAACAACGGTTGCGCACCTGCCAGGGCCATCATCCCTGTCAAATAATACCATGCGGGACACATTCGTTTTTTCTTCGCGCGCGCACGCCGTCGTCGTCGGCCGCGGGGCCCTGAATAGTAGCCACGGTCGTCCGCATGCCACGAAGTGAAGTGTCCGAACGTCATAGGGCGGGAAGCTGGGTGTGGGTTGGCGAAGAGTCGTTTGGAAATTTGGTAGAGCTTGAACCGGCCCCCCCACAAAGTGGGGGTATTGCCCGCCTCCTATGAAAACCCTGGCACTGGTGAGAACGGTGTGTCCCCACGTGCTAGTAATTGTTGTTGTTGTTGTTGTTGGTGGTTTTGTTGGTTTTGTTGTTGTTGTTGTTGACGACGACACCGTGTTTCGGAGGCCCCCCTGGTGGAAGGGGGGGGGGCGCACCGCACCGCGCGCGCCGTGCTGGGCGCACCGCACCGCGCGCACCGCAGCGCACTGCACCCCTAGGGAAACTTTAGGCATCCTAAAGAACCCTTAAGGAATCCTTAGGATCCCTAAGGGAATCCTTACTGCGTCCTACGTGATCCTTAGGACTCCCTAGGGAATCCTCCCCCTCTGCCTCCCCCTCGATCTGCTCCTCCTCTTCTCCCCCCTCTACCTCCTTTTCGTCCTCCACCCCCTCCTCTCCCCTTCTCTGTCCCCTCCATGGGGAGGGAGGGGGAGTCGATGATAATAACGACGATGATGGTAAAATGATGGTGATGATAGTGAAGATGCTAATTATGCTGACGTCGATGATGAACATGGTGGTTGCGATGATGATAGTGCTGACGATGATGGTGAACATGCTGATTATGATGATGCTGATGATGATGATGTTGGTGGTGGACACGATGATGTTGACTATGATGACGATGATGCTGACATAATGCAAATGATGACCATGATGGTGATGATGATGATGTTGCGAATGGTGATGCTGACTATGAAGATGCTGACTATGAAGATGATGATGATGATGATGATGATGGTGGTACTGGTGACGACGACAGTGATGATGCAGAGTGCGATGATGGTAATGGTGGTGGTATTGTGGACGGCGATAGTGATGATGCTGGCTACGATGGTAATGGTTACTACAACCCTCGTCAACAATAAACTGAGGGATTCTGTGTTCGGTGATTGTATGCTGACGCTAGATATCTGACGTGGACGCAAGGGCTTCAACAATCCGACGACCCCTCCGCAGCATTGAAGAACGCAGTCTCTAACAAGTGCCCGAGAAGTTCGATCGTCGTGGTTTCCAACTGCGTTTCTGTTTATTTTTGACGAGGCTTGTAGGATGATGACAGTGACGATGATGCTAGTATCGGCGATGATGGTGAGTTGGTGGTGATGATGATGATGGTGATGACGATGCTGATCATTATGATGATGGTGATGACGATGATGATCATCATGATGATGGCGGTGACGATGATGATCATTATGATACTGGCGATCGTGATGGTACTGATGGTGCTACACCTCTAATCGGATGCAAAGTAGCAGTGGGTACACCTCTAGTAGGACGCAATTCGGTGTTGATCACATCCAATCGGATTCTATTCGGGGTGGACACACTTTTACTAGGATTTTATTAGGGGTGGACGCGCCTGATTGTTTCAGGTGTGGATACACCTCGAATAGGTAATTATTAGGGGTGGATGCACCTCTCATGGATTTCATCAGGAGCGGACACACTTCCAATATAATGCTATTCGGGGCGGGCACACCTTTCGTAGGATGCCATTCGGGTGGATACACCGACACTCGGATTCTATTCGGGGTGGATACACCTCTAATGTGATTATATAAGGCGTTTCTGCACTTCCGAACGGATTCTACTCGGGGTGGGTACACCTCTAGTAAGATCCTACCAGCGGTGGATACGCATCTAACAGGGTACTTAATGGGGATGCCATACATCTAACACGGCACTATTAGGGGTGGATGCACGTCTAGTAGGATTCTCTTAGGGGTAGAGACACCTCCGATAGGATTCTGTTAGGGATGGATACATATCTAATGAGATTATATTAGGATTGGACGCGCTTCTAAACGAATTCTTTTCGGGGTGGATGCACTTCTAGGAGGATTGTATTAGGGGTAGATGCACCTCCCGTCTGATTTTTTGTGGGGTGGATACACCTCTCGTAGGATCTGTTCAGGGTGGATACAGCTCCAATATGACGGTATTCGGGGTGGCTGCCTCTAGTAGGTTTTTGTCCCGGGTGGAGACACCTCTAATACATTTCGTATACCGGTGGATACACCTTTAGTAGGTTTCTATTAGGGGTGGATGCCTCTAGTCGGAATCTATTAGGGGCGGATGTACCTTTTACTGGGGTTCTATTTAGTAGGGCGGATACAATTCTGGCAGGATTCTATTCGTTGTGGATACACTTCCAGCAGCATTCTATTAAGAGTGGACGCGCCTCTAGTAGGTTTCCATTCGGGGTGGATGCCTCTAATCGGAAACTATTAGGTTTGGATGCGCCTCTACCAGGATTTTTGTAGGGGTCGATACACTTCTGGTAGGATTCTATTCGTTGCGCATACACTTCCAGCAGGATTCTATTAAGAGTGGACACGCCTCCTAGTACTATTCTAGCAGGAGTGGAAACACCTCTACGAGGATTGTATCAGGGTTGGGTACACCTCTAATAGGATTCCATGAGTTGTGGACACACCTGTAACCGGATGTACTTACAGGTGGATACACTTCTAATACGGTTCTATTCGAGGTGCGGAGGCGCGGTGCGGTGCGGTGTTCCCGGCCCAAGCCCCGAGGGGGGCTCTGAATGCCGGTGTTCTTCCTTGGGGACGACGGGTAAGCGAGGCCCCGGGCATGGGGTCCAGAGAGCCGGTTTTGCTCTGTGTTTGTTGATGATGATGATGTTGACGACGATGATGATGATGATAAGGATGATGATGATGATGATGATGATGATGATGATGATGATGATGACGATGATGATGATGATGATGATGATGATGATGATGATGATGATGATGATGATGATGATGATGATGATGATGATGATGATGATGATGATGATGATGATGATGATGATGATGATGATGATGATGATGATGATGATGATGATGATGATGATGATGATGATGATGATGATGATGATGATGATGATGATGATGATGATGATGATGATGATGATGATGATGATGATGATGATGATGATGATGATGATGATGATGATGATGATGATGATGATGATGATGATGATGATGATGATGATGATGATGATGTCGTTGTTGTTCACAATTCATATCGCGAGGAGGTCTGGTTTCTGCGCCCGCCCCCTTGCGCGCGCGGCGAAAGAAGCGAGGGGCATGGGGACCCCATGCCGGGGTGGAACCCCTGGCTCGGGGGGGAACCCGTCCCCACCAGGGCCGCCTCCCCGCAAGGGGCCTGGGCGCCCAGGCGCTCCAACCATTCCCCGCCAGTCCTGTGGCCTGGTTCCCAACTGCAATTCTGCCCCGCCGATGCAGGTGGCGCCGACCACTTTGGGTTCCCCGACTAGCCTGGTGTGCCTGTCGATTCCCTGGCTTATTCCAAGGGGGGGCAGGTTTGCGGGATACGGTGAGGCAGGGTAGGGTGGGGAAGAGAAAACGTACATCATGGAGGGTGAGAGGAGCAAGACGGTTGGAGGCGGAAGCAGGACAATCGAAAGGGTCTGATGATGATGAGGTGGAAGAGGTTTGATGTTTGGGGTGACGGCGGGGCCTCCCTCCGAGACATGGTCAACCCCTCGACTCGGCTCATTGCTTTTGCCTTGTAGAATGAGCCAGTCGAGCCAGGCCCAGAATGCGACGCTCTCCCCCGGCAGAACCGCAGACGATTAGATATCCCAGGTCGTTCCCAGGAGCGCGAAGGTAATCGCGATTTGCGTGTCGCTGTCACCGCCAGATCAGCTGCCTATTCCCAAAGGCGATGTCGCGAGGGCGCGATGTCGCGAATCTATGCGCGCGCCGCGCATTGTGGGCGCGATGAGCGAAATCAGGCGAGAGTAGGATATCTTTGGCGCGCAGTGGCAGTGTGGCCAAAGTGTGAAAGGCCACTGCGTTGACGAAGTGACATGTTTGGGCAGAGGGCGGACAGCGCAAGAGGACTGCGAAGGCAAACGTCCACTTAGTTTGCACTCTCGCGTGGCACATCTGATACCTTGGGAGAGCCACAGAGCGAAACGACCGGTTGCGTGGCCGTGGTAGCGCGTCTCTCTTCTCATCATTATTCCGTCGTGGGTTGCGGGTGGTTGGGGGTGGTTGCGGGCACCGTCGTGCACAGCGTGCTGTTTCCATTCCTCCGGTGCTGCGGCTGTTTTAACCCATCGCACATCCCACCTTGGGATCGGACAGGCAACGACGGTCGTCTGTCTTGGGCCGGCGAGCGAGAGAAGATGAAGACGAAGACGAGGAGGAGGAGGAAGAGGAGGAGGAAGAGGAGGAGGAGGAGGAGGAAGAGGAGGCATAACTGGAGGGGGAGGAGGAGGGGGAGGAGGAAGAGGAGGAGAAGGAGGGAGAGGAGGAGCAGGAAATGGGGAAGTAAGACTGATAGCGTTCGGCCCCAGGGTCTGGCAGAGGCCATGGCCCCGCCGTCGGTGCAGGCAGGCCGTGCAGCGCCCTTGCCCCGAGGTCTTCAACAACCCGCTCGACGTGGCCAAGTCCCGCATCCAGGCTGGCGGCGGCTGCAGAGCTGGTGCCGGTGCCTTTGGCGCGGAGGCCAAAAGATCGAGGTGGACGGTTGGAGTAGGCGAGCAGCGTTCTCCTCCCAGCCTCTCCACCAGGTCCATGAAGTCCCAGCCTACTTCTTAGCCTTGATCACAAGAGATCAGTTCGATCTCCAGGGAAATACCTGAACATGTTGGGTTTCACGTCTGCGGCCTTGGGAGGCGATTTTCGTTCTTCACTGTTTCGATACTGGGTGTTCGAAATTATTTCTGGGATGTTGTCCTTAAGTACGATGAGAACAGCATAACTCCAGGGCTTCATGTGTCCCTTCCTCTGACTTCGCGTCCTATACCATCCTCTTTCTTCTTTTTCCCGTTGCTCCCCTCCCCTCCGTGTCCTTCCGTTCTTTCCACGCCACCATTCTCTCATCCTCACCCCCGTTCCCGCTCCCCTCCCCCCCCTCGTGAGCGTTTTTGTTGTCCCTCCCCACTGACGCTCGTTACCCGCCCCCCCCTCCCCCCCACTTGTGTAACGCCAACGATCGTAATTGCTGGGGAAGGTGGCCTGGACCCCCGCCCCCCTCTCCAAATATTGTGGTGCATACAGGCGGTTGATGCGCCGGTGGCGCTGACGCGCGAGTGTACGCCGCGGCTGCTTTTACCGTTACCCGCTCGGCCGAACCCCACTTCCCGGGTAACGACCGTTAACCTGGAAAGAAACAAGAAACGGTCTCCCGTTGCTCCTCCCCGTCTTGCTCCTCCTGCTTCTGCGCACCTTCCTCCTCCCTCATCCGTCCTCCGGAGCTAGAAGTAGCAGCTGCTGAGGTAGAGCAGTCTCTCAGGTGTTGTGCTACTGCCTTAGAACACGCTCCTCACCGCATACGTGGCACCTGTTTCCCTTGCCCTGTGCTTTGTGTATGGCTGATGGGCTTGTAAGCTCGTAAGCTGGAGGGGGGAAGGAGGAGGACGACGACGGGAGAAGGAGGAGGAGGAGGAGGAGGAGGAGGAGGAGGAGGAGGACCCCCGCACCCTCCAACTTCTGGTGGTGGTGGTGGAAAACATGCCCATCAAGGTGTCCAGACGTGTTGGGCCACAGGTCGGCAGGCTGCGGCTGGGCACGCTGAGGTTGACGTTTTTGCCCTCTGGTGCACAGCCCTGGCAGAACCCATGTTCACTGCACCTCTTCACGGTCGGCCAGTGTAGGGAGAGGGAGAGAGAGAGAGAGAGGGAGAGGTAGAGGGAGAGGGAGAGAGAGGGAGAGACAACATGAGGAGTCAGCATGCTCATTTGGTTGTACATTGTCCAGTGGTCTGACGCCACATCCGCCGATGCCGTTGTATTTGTTGGGCGGTTGACCCTTGCAGGCCTCGATCGATGAGCTAGAGATGAGCAGGGGAGACGGGGTTGAGGAGTAGGAGGAGGAGGAGGAACCGCAGCAGCAGCAGTAGCAGCAGCAGCAGTAATACGATAATTGATAAGAGGATGATTGGGGGGGAGGAGGAGGAGGAGGAGGAGGAGGAGGAGGAGGAGGAGGAGGAGGAGGAGGAGGAGGAGGAGGAGGAGGTGGAGACCTTGGAAAAGAAGACTCGGATGGGAAGCACGTGCAGTGACTCTTGGGACCCTCTTCGGCCCTCTCGGGGGCCTCTTGGGTATCTTTGCTGTTTTGGGGGTGACTTGGAGGCCGTCTCGGCACCGTTTGTCGCCATCCTAGGGGCTTCTTGGACAGGCTTGTGCCACTCCATAGGCTGCCTTGGGCTGTTTTGGGGCCCTCTCGGGAAGGCTCTTGCGCCATTCTTGGGCCGTCTTCGGGGCCAGCTTCAACATTCTGGAGGCCATCTTGGGCAGAACATTCAGGACCCGATCGCATGCAGTTTCGAGTATCGCGAGGCAGATGAGAAGCAGGAGGGGGGCCCAGCAGAAGGACTGTGGTGGGGAGGAGGAGGAGGAGGAGGAGGAGAAGCAGGAGGAGCAGGAGGAGCAGGAGGAGGAGGAGGAGGAGGAGGAGGAGGAAGAGGAGAAGTAGGAGGAGGAGGAGAGGGAGGAGGAGGGCGCATGAGGGCACGCGGGGGCAGCAGGGGTGGCAAACGATGGGGCGCTCGGGGAGCCATTTGTTTAGGAGCCCGCAAGATGCACGCTCGTCGCCCGCCAAGAGGCCGAAGGCAGTGGAGACCCCGCGACGGGCGCTGTTCGCCCCGAAGAAGTGCCGGCTACGCTCGCTGGTCGTCCGCGGCAAGGGACCGAGAAGGCGGGCAGTCGAAGTCAGGACATGGGGCCACGACGCGTGTGAGGGGTGTGCCGAACCTTGGCGGGGAACCGCATGCGAACCCTGCCGTTGAGGTCTTCGGTGGAGCTCCCGGTGGGCCACGAAGCGTGTGAGAGGTGTGCCGCATTGGACGGGGAACCGCCTGCGAACCCTCCCACTGGGGCCCTCGGTGGAGCCCCCCCATGGGGCCACGAGGCGTGCGAGGGGTGCCGACATCGGCGCTCGAACCGCACGCGAACCCTCTCGCTGGGGCCTTCCGTGGAGTTCCCTATGGGGCCACGAAGCGTTTGAGGGGTATGCCGACGTGGGCGGGGAACCGCATGCGGGACCCTGCCAGTGGGGCCGTCGGTGGAGCCACTTAATGGGCCACGAAGCGTGTGATGTGTGTGCTGAAATTGGCGGGGAATGGCATGGGACATCTGCCACTGGGGCCTTCGGTGGGGTCCCATATTGAGCCACGAAGCGTGTGAGGGGTGCGCCGAAATGGGCTGCGAACCGCATGCGAACCCTGCCACTGGGATTTTCTTTGGAGTCCCCTACGGGGCCACGAGGCGTGCGAGGGATGTGCCGACATGGGCGGGGAACCGCGTGCGGACCCTACCATTGTGGCCTTCGTTGTGGTTCCCTACGGGCCACAAAGCGCGCGTGAGGAGTGTGCCGAAATTGCCAGGCGGAGGGCAAATTGAAGAGGAGGGGGAGGAGGTGGGAGGGGGAAAGGATAGGAGGAGGAGGAAAGGACCGCTGTCTTTTCAAAACGAAGCACAGGATTGGTGGGATTCAACTCTGGGAGCCATCCAGGGCAGACAAATCTGGTGAATATCTTCTTGGGTCGTCCTCGAGGCCTTTCGGGGCTCACGTGGCCCTCGTGGGCCAGTCTTGGACGCGTGTGATTCCCGTGCGCCCCCGGTCCATCTCGACAATCCAAGCCCTCCTTACAGCTGTGACCGCCCCACCCTCTTTCCAGGGATGGCTTGGGGGGCACTGCCAGGCGTACATTTCCTGCGCCCGAACCCAGTGGGTCTGCAACTTCTCCCCACCCGTCGGGCGGAGGACACCCGCAGCTTTCCGTCCAAACCTCAGCACATTTGAATTAGTTGTTGCGCTGGTTCCTCCTTCCCCCTCCTCCTCCTACTATCCCCCTCTTCCTCCGTTTCTTCCCGTTCCTCCGCTTCCTTCCCCTCCGACTCCCTTTCCGCATTCCTTCACTCCCGCTTCTCATGCTGCTGCAGATGTTGTTCTCTTTTTACCAAACCACCCCAACCCAACCCGAAGGCTTCGATTTGCCTTCCACTTCTAGTGGGGGGGTCGGGGAATGTTGAGAAACACATCTGGAATCCGTACCCCCCCAACCCGAAATTCGGGTATTCGGGTTGGGTTGGGGTGGTCTGGTAGGTAGTCAGTTGTTGTCGCTTCTGTTGCCACCGCTTCTGCCGCTCGTCATCGTCATTAGATTGGAAAGCGGCCTTCAGTGCTGGACATTCTCGCCAGCGAGGGTCTGCGAGGCTGGTGCAAGGCACCCCGCCCGCACGCCCATGTTCAGTTGCCGCGGTGTGCTGCCGCCTGCTTTGGCCAGGGCTTCTGCCATCGAAGATCTTCTTGGTGACCTGCCTCGCAGGCCTAGAGGTTGACACCAACACCAAAATCGGCGGTGTGCTTCCACCGAGGGAAGATGATCCCGATCTTTGTGATGGTGGTGACATTCGGGCTTTCTAGGTGGCCGACAGGTTACCACCAACACAAAAATCCAGGATCACCTTCTTTCCGTGGAGGTAACCCCTGGTGTTGATGTTGGTGCCCATTTCCAATCTTCCAATTACCGCCTGCCCCCAAGCTGGGATGACGATGCTAGTTGTCTCTCCAGCTTCAGCTCCACGTAACTTTTAGATGCTGGCTGATGCCGAACAGTCGCTTCAGCTTCAGGTTCGGCTGTAGCTTTCGCTTCGTACCCAGCTCTGGCTTCCTGCTGATCTCAGCGCTTTCAGCATCACGCTGAGATGCTGCCTCCGCTCGGCGCTTCCGTCTCGACGCAAGTCTGAGCAACAAATGTGGCTCCAGCCGTGGCTTTCAGTTGACGCCTCGGCCCTTGGCATCCGTTATCTTTCTCTCACGAGGGTGTTCGGTACGCTCCAGGCATGTAGGCATGCGTCATCCCTTGGCATTCGTTGTTCCCCGCCCTTGTCGTTTGTTATCCCTTGGCATTCGGCGCTCTCTCCGTCCGGAAGCTGCCCAGCGGATTTCTCTCACGGGGCTCGGGCGCGACGGCGATGACGATGACGATGACGATGACGATGACGATGACGACCACGACGACCACGACGATGACGACGACGACGATGACGATGACGATGACGATGACGATGACGACGTCGTCGTCGTCGTCGTCGGCTGTCATCTTGGTGTGCTTTGGGTGGCTGCTTGCCCGCGGACATCTCCAGGCTCCAGAAGGGGGCTTCGCGGCAGGCCTGGAGGCCATCCGGGGCGGCCTCGGGGCCGCGCGCGGGGAACCAGAAGATTCTCGGACCATCTTGGGGTCAACGATAGCAAAGCAAGCCATGCACATGGAGCTGCATCGGGTCATGCTTCAGTGTTCCCTCATCGGGGGCCGTCCACGTGTCGCTCTGGAAGCCTCCGGAACTCCGTGGATGTTTTTTTTGCGAGGCGTTTGGAGCCATGTCCAGTCCCAGATGGCCCGAAACATTCCA